TTTACTCCAATCAGCCCAAATGTTTACCTGGGAAATGCTTGAATTCTTTGACAGGAAATATTCCAAGGAATTTACAATAATTTGTACAATCAATTCATTTAAAAAACAACCAAACATTAATTTCACCAGTACTGTTTTTACAATGTCATGACCAAAGCTAGATTACCTACGGCATCATGAATACCAAATATTTCACATGACTGCTGAAGATCAGTCTTATGGACGTCATTCCCTAAATCATGGACTATAAAAATGATTCACAATATTTGTGCAAAAAGTAAAAAAAAAAAAAATCACTTTGTGGGGTTTTTTTGCTAAACAGCTGGAAACATCTGTCTTCTGGGCTACTGTCAACAATGAAATTCCCTCCTTGTCTTTTGAAATTTACATTCTTCTTTGGTGAGAGATATTTTTCCATCCTTGACATGCACCAATACCCCATTATTGTGCAGAAACATGGATGCTTTCATGCATCCTGGAAAAAACCACACAACCAGCTGAGGAAAGGATGACAGTTGGGTGCTGACGCACAGCCTGGTGTCACGTAAACACATAATCTTCCATTCATCAAGAGACTTTTGATCAATAGCTTGCCGTGTTCATACTTTTTCATAGCCTGTCAGTTGGTTTTATGATCTTTGGCTGAAATAATGAAACTGCAGATGGCCAAAGAGCTGTTTGATGCTGTATTTTTGTAATCATCTCACTTCCAATTTTGCTTCTTATTGCAAGGTACGACATTCCATTTTGAGTATGGTACTTCTTCAATGGTTTATACTTTTTGTTTCTATTGCAAGTTTTGTAGTTTTTGTAACTGTAGAGATTATTTTGTCTTCAGAGTAAATAAATAAATAAATATATTTGAATGGTATGTTTTGGTCTTTGGACTCGACTCTTCTGTGGTCAAGACTCAAACTCTGAATAAATTGGAAAATCAGTTACTTGATCCGTTTCTCAAATAAAGATGTGAATCCGGAGATTAAACACTGAATTTGTAAAAACAAGTATTTGAATGACAAATTAAAAAGGGACATGGGGATAAGACAGAATGGGTATCTAGTGTGAAATGTTCTGAGTTAGTGGTGTTTATTGAACACAACTGGGTTCCATGTTTAATTGTTTAATATCATACATTACTATATATCCGTTAACAGAAATCACACTGAAGGTATTGCTGTGAAATGATTATATGGAAAAGTAGGCCTACGCTGCCCTCTAAAGGCGAGAATCACAACACCAAGGAAAAGCAATACAGTGCTCATCCTACAGTATGTTTACTTAGACTAGAAAAAAGAAAAATGACAAAAAGGAACTTTGAGAAGACTCTGTGATCAGTAAGATAAATGGCATTTAATAGCAGATTTTTAAAGGGTTTGTTCACCCAAATTATAACTATGCATTTTCTAACTCCTCCCATATCATAAAATATGTGAAGTTTTGGTTTTATGTGCTTAGAGTTTGAGATAACCACCTCTAAATCTTCTCCATTTAAACAGTGTATTTGTATAGCCTATGTACTTTTAACAGAGTATTTATTTATTTTTGTTCAAAAGTAGTTTCAGTCAGAGGCAGAAATGTCAAAACCTCAGCACATCAAATCAAAAATGTCTCCATAACACTTTTACTTAAAAAAAAAAAAAAAAAGTCTTTTTGTAATTTGGGTGAACTGACCCTTTTAAGCTTTAATGGTCATATACAAGTACACTCTTCCGGTATAATATTGGGCAAGGTCTCATAATTGAACGAGTACCCGCCATCGGATGTCGTGGTGATCCTCAGGGACTTCATTGTCCCCGGGACCGGAGTGCAGCATTGTGTGATCCCCAGCATGGCGGTGGTGTGCTCCGAGGACGAGCAGTTGCCTTCACAGTAGTAGAAAGTCAACACCTTTGGATGGACGATCCAGCTGTCCCATCCCAGCTCCTCAAAGCTGATTTCAATCTCTGCTCGGTGGCAGTCGCTGTGCTGGAGTCTGTCCTGAGAGGGCCTCTGGAGCACGTTGATGGCGGAAGGAGACCAGGGAAGTGTTGCCAGGGCCTGGCGGGGTGAACGGACAGGACCACGAGGCTGAGCGTGGAGGTGAAGAAAGGGCATCTTGTCTGGTTCGTCGGCGTGGCACTCGCAGGCTGCACAGCGGACCTGGAGCAGAAAAGGCCCCTCAGCCACAGAGGCCAGCAGGTTTTGGTTGAACTGGTAGGTGGTCCATCCATCTGAGCTCGTTGTGGACGGAGCCTCCGCCGCCTGAAGAAGCTGCTGCGCCGAAGTGAGGATGAACAGCTGGGCGGAGGAGTTGCCTGTGGCTGCTTCCCCTGCATAAAACCAGAAGTGGGCAGATGTGACCAGGGTCTCGTGGTTGTTCTTGGACGGCTGGAAATAATATGTAAAGTGTTTGTCGGTGGTTTCTCCAGGAGCTGAGTCAGATCTGGCACAGGCGGAGTCTGCCAAAGTGAGATTAGAGAGCAGTCAGTGAAGTTTATTGGAGGTTTTTGTTTTTTGTTTTTTTAAACTTTTATTGGACCAGTTGGGGCTCCTTCAGAGTCCTGCTGTCGTGTAGAGGATTCAGTGTGTATGGACTCTTTCAGATCAACACATACATAGTAACACCCCCTATAAAATCATATTTTTAGCTGACCTCTAGGGGTTTAACTCCTGATCTCACTGCAGTGATACACAGCTGAACCCCATGACACAGTGACATCACTGTAGTTGGTGTATGCAGGAGCAACAGAGCACACTTCTTCACTTCTACTTCTGCAGCATGCATATAACGAGTTTACTGCAATACACAGCAATATAACTGCAGTTTTTAAGTTAAGAAAAGCAATACACGGTGTTTAAGTTTTTTTACCTTACCACAGCAGCGCAGGTTCAATTCCCACCTGGATCTTTTGCTGCAAGTTATCACTTCTCTCTCTCTCTCTCTCCCTTGCCTTTTCCTAACACTTTCCAGCGATCACTATTCAATAAAGCCAAACAAAAAAAAAACATCTCACCAGAACTGGGGAAGACAATAATTTGAGATGTTTCCTGGTTCAGGCTGCTTTGATGGTTGACCCACGCTGTCCTGCTTGTCCTGGGGGCCCTCCGGGGTGCATGTCTTGATTCCGGCTGTGCCGTGTCCCCATCGAGACTCTGCACTCGGGTTGGGAGAGGCTCCTCCAGCCCAAGGCCCTCCAGAACCCGCTCTCTGAACCAGGACAACACTGCTTCCCGGGGCAGCTCCTCTCCCTTGCAGGCTTGTGTGAGAATGTGGATCCAAAAAGGGCCCAGGATGAAGAGCGCACAGGACACCATGACTGTACTGTGTGACAACTACTTGGCACTATTGGGGCGCAAAATACCTTATACCAAAACAGAAGTCTGACTATTTCTACTGGTCTAGAGAAGTTGCTATGAAGATACTGACTCTCCTCTGTCTGCGAGCGCCCAAATGATAGCAAAGAGTGGCCTTGACGACTGTGTGGCATTATCTGTTTCTGTGGCTGTTTCACACAGTATCGATGGAATGTGTCTGCATTTGTTTTTTATTTTGTGTCCTGCAGGGTGTTGCTTTTGGTTGACATTATTGACTTGTAGCTCAAAGAAGGGTGAAGAAATCAGCCACTGGCCAGTACTGTGCAGATGCATTATTAATGTAAAGTACTGACAGATGGAAAAGTTTAGTCTCGGATTGTATTGGAAAGGTTTTTCACTCTCTACTGTACAGTTACTGTCAAGTCATCCTATACTTTTAATGTTCCTTTACATCCTCCTGATCAAATTAGTCCAATAACATAACTTATTTTCACCCTTTACTTTTACACAAAGATATTTCAAACTAGTAAAAGGTCTATTTGTGTTTGTATTACTTCTCACCATGCTGAAAACAGTCATGTGTTCATTAGTATCCGGCACGCTTTGACATCACAGCGGCCATATCTAACACACACCTGCTTTCCCACTAAATAAAAAGGCCTTTGTCTACTGTAAGGGAAACCTGTGTTGTGCTTCCTTTATCTGAGTGGCCTTGAATGTGTCTGAGTAATATCTCTTCATAAGTGTGTTTCTGCACAAGAACATTTTATCAGCTGCTTAATAGGCCATAGACCAGATGTTCACAGAAGCTTTGTTTTAAAGCAACCATCAGACTTTGACTGTGGCTTAAATCTCGCTAACAGTCAGCTTTCAGACCGAAGTTTCAATTCACGTGTTGCACAAAGCTGTTTAGTTTATTTGACTAAGTCAAGTAGGATTAATTCTGGATAAATACAAAATTTGACTACAAAACATGGCTGATGGAGCAACTGCGTCAAACCGCTCAGCAGGCAGATATTGTTTGTCTTCTGGGAAAGAAAATTAACCGTTACAAGGACATTTTACTGGAAATTCAGTTTTTGCGAAACTGTCTAACTTCCACTAAACTAATCTAAGAGAAAATTTAGGACTGATCTGATGCCATATTGCTTTTTGGTCTTTGACCTCTTTGTTGTTCATTGTCACCATTTTGTCAGTTTAATGCCTGCCTGCAGACCTAATGTCCTTTGACTGAAAATCAGTTTTACTGTTTAAATTAACCGAATATTTGAATATATTAACTGCAGTAGGCAAAATAAAAAAACAAATAACTAATGATTAGTAATAATATCATGTATTTTCATAAAATAACTAATAATGTTAATCACATTTTAAAGCGAGACTGTGTAACTTTTGCTGAACAGCGACCCCTGTGGCCATACGTGGTAATTACATGATAATGGCACACACACACACACACACACACACGATGTCAAATGACATTTTAACATGTGACAGTAGAAAAAGCGCGTACAATATTAATAATGGCTCAGTTTCAGTTAACTGCTCCGGGTTCAGGGTTCTTGTATTGTGCATACTGGCTCTTACTGTCAATGCTGTGAAGGACTGAGCCATCTTTAAAGTTGTGAGCAATGCAACTTCTCCAGGTGAGCTGTTTACTTATTGTTTTACTTTTGTGACAGAGCTGTTAAAAAATGTTTATTTGTGAAATGCTAAAACACAGCGGCCCAAGTAGGTAAGAGTCACAAAGTCAGCATGTTAGCTATGTGGGAAACAGGTAGCCTGTTGAAAAAAAAAAAAAGTTTCCTACCAACACCTCTAAAGCTCGCCAGTGTCCTTGCACACACAGAAAGAGAGGTCAGCGCTGTAATGACATATTGGCATATCATTCTGTGGCTCTAGTTCCATACTTAACACATATAGTTGAGGTAAATGTGCCAATATATTGTTACATATTCAATACTATGCATCACTTTTGACTTATTGTGAAGATTTGTAGTCTCAGAAAGATAAGAAATATAGATTAATTGTACAAAAAGTGAATGTTGGTGTGTTCAAGTGATGTTTAATTGTGCAGCTCTACTGAGTCTGAACTGTTAGAAGTTAATGTGTAATTATGTGTAATGTGAAAGTACCATATGCTGTATTGACCAGAAGAGGGCGGTAAAATACTACCTCACCAGATGTGCGCGGTTCATGACAGTTTTGGGGCTAAAACCGAGCACAAATACACAATATGTTACCTCTGCAGACCAGACATGAAATGAATTCTCTATTTAATTAATTCTTCTGTTTTAAGAGAGCATAATTCAGCGTAGTCCATTGATTTCACCCATATTTACTTCTGTCCCATCATAATGATGGAGGGAAAACTACATCATTATTAGATTTTGTCAAATTTAATGTAAGAAAAGTAATTAAGATGTCAAAGGGAAGACAAGTTTAATTAGTCAAAAATGCAGGCTCAAAAACACAATTAATAAGTGAATTGGTTGGAAATTTGTCCCATTTACATCCCGCAAGAAATAATAATAATAATAAAAAAAACATTTTAAAAAGTTGACTTTAGGGAATGACCAGTGGAGGAAATATTCCGATAAAAGTATTCTCAGAAGTAAAAGTACTTGTTGTCCTCTGTGACTGGTATGAGCTGCTCGAGCTGGAGCTAGTTTTACACAAATCTGAGGGGTCGTCAAAGAGTAATGGGACAGTAAAAGAAGAAAATACAAACTTTTATATGTGAGATATTTCATCATTTGATCTCTTTGGGCCTCACACAATGACTTTAATTAAACAATTAGAGAAGTTAAGTCTCTTCGGAACTACTATCAACTTATAGACACCTGAAACTTAAAACGCTGTTTTTTGTAGAAGGTTACAAGCAAGTAGTGAAAATGTGTTGGGGTAGAAGTATAAAATGGCATTATGCAAGTCAAGTACATCAGAATTATTCTACTTAAGTAAAGTACTTGATTTAATTTCCACAGCTGGGAATTAGCCAAAACACACTGAAGGGATTAAGAGGAGGAGGAACTGTAGTGTCTTACTGATTCTATTGCTTGTTAAATCCCCAAACTGTAACTTTTTTTAAAAGTCAAACTCAAAGTAAACCGAGTTGATGTAAAATATGCTTAGTTTTAGTTGCTCTCCGACTTTGAGGTGGTATCCTTCATTTTTAATTATACAATGACTGAGTATAACGAAGTAAACAGAATGGAAAAACCCTTAAATTAACTTGAATCATCCTAACATTCATGCAGTCTTTGTCTGAGACCCTGGCTGGTCGGCATAGCTTTTCCCACCATTCGCAGCACGTCAGTCACTTGTCCTTTTAGCTCAACATGCACAAAACGTGAAACATAAAGCAAAATAGTACCAATGGGTGATGGTATGTCAGCGAATTTGCTCTGATGCAATTTTACAGCTTCACAAATAGCCGATAAATGACTGAATAAGATCTTGATATTGAAGATTGCACTCAACTAAAAGGGAACAGAATAAAAGAAAAAAGCCAGTATAAATGAATTTTTAAGAATTTTATTTACGTGTTTTTACATTTGCAACTTTACTTGAGATCATATTTCTACACAAATGCACTATATCACAATGTAAAGAATAATTTAAATGGCTAGGTGTAACAAAGTTCATAAAGAAAAAATAGGTTAAAAAAAAAAAAGCAGTTTTTAGATGAACACAAGTGAACTCCTTTTTTTATTGTGTGTACTACAAACTGTTCCAACTCGTTATATTACATTGTACTGTTATATCACTGCCCTACAGTTGTATGAATCACTAAGTCCTGTCTTTATTCTTAGACTTTCTTTTTATAGCAACTCCAACTGTCACACGAATGCTGTCTCTGCCTGTCTCTCACACACTCAGAGACACACACACACACACACACACACTTTGGTTGATAAGGTTATCGAAATAGCTCAGAGTGTGGGAGTGTATGTGTGTGTGTGTGTTTGTTTGTTAGTGTGTTTAGGTGTGTGTGTGTGTGTGTGTGTGTGTGTAGGTCATACATGGCAGCCCAAGAAATGTGACCTGTCTGTGGTGGTGCAGCTGTCGTTGCCAACCTGAGGGAATTGAGGCTGAAGCAGTGAGATGGGAGAGAGTGAGAGAGAGAAGAGAGAGAGAGAGAGAGAGAGACAGATAACATGAGCTGATTTAAGTCTTAGAAGCCTAAAAAGGTCAAAAGTGTCTTTTTTTTTTAAGGACTCAGAGGTAGTTACTGAAAACACTCTAGAGCGGTAGGGCTGAGTGGTTTGGCATTTAGGAAGAAGGATGTCTCTCTCTCTGTCTCACCACTCTTCACCAGGGATTGAAGCTGTTGAAAGGGACCATGGCAGTGGCTGCTAATGCTACATGATCTAGGGTGGACTTACACCTACAGCCCTGCGCTCGCTAAAGGACACACAGAGACTCGGGCTTTAGCAAATGATTTGAGATGAAATATATTGCTCAATGGATCCTGTTACCTTCACTTGGACTTTGTGGGAATGTCCAAAGGGATTCCTTTCGGCTTTAATGGCAAAAGTTAAGTAAGTTGCATTTCTTTCTATTATCGGGTAAAGTCTATTTTAGGCAATGGATCAGTATATTAGTGGAATTTTTTTAAATTAGCATATGAAATCCAAATGCTGACTTATTCTTTGATCAGTATTTCTATAATTCAATTTATTGCCATTTTGAATAGTTATTCTGTTTTTTTTTCTATTACTTGAAATGAAAATTGCAGGAAGTCCTTAAACCTAAAACAACAAAACAGGTTGCTTGTAGTTGCCCTCCAAAGTGACCCTTTTCTTCTGATCTCCCATCAGTAGTAGTACAAACGCCTTTGTAGGGCTAAGCTTTTTGAACATACAGCCAATGCTTTCTCCCATAGGAAGTCATTATTCACTAACTGCAAGAGGTTGGTTGTTATGAAAATTTAAATCTGGGTTGTGTTTAGCTATTTGAACAAATGAACAATGACATTTGTTCTGATGAGCACATTCGCTGGCAAACTGTGTCTGTCGTCAAACCATGAAGAACATCATTTATTGTCATTCTAATCAATTTGCTCTGGTTATTACAGCCCACAGAGCAACAGCCCAGGTCAAACATCCTCTGTGTCCTCTCAGCAGACCCACATGGAGTCTTTCAGAAGAGGCCTTCAATAACTGCAGCTCATCTTGATACTCCAATCAATTACCAGACAAAAAGTACAGTCTGTAAAGAAGTCGGAAAGAAATCAAGATGGCAGAAGGCCCTGGATCCAGTCCCAGTCTTGACATCCCTTCCAAGAGGCCCAAAGTCACTAAGGACCAGGTTGTTCCAGGCGCTGGGGTTGCAACGCCGGAACCCACAGCGCCGGTTTTCATCCGTAAACTCCGTAAAGCAGCAGTAGGAACAGGTTGTGATATTCGACTGAGGGTGTCTGTGGCAGGATTTCCAAAACCTTCGCTGACCTGGTACCACAATGATGAGCTCCTTCCTCCATCAGAAGCCCAGGACTCAGGAGGACTGTGGATACGGGACTGCCGCACGAGCGATGCTGGCTTGTATGCCTGTGTGGCGACCAATGAGCTGGGAGAGGCAAGCTGCAGTGCTGTCTTGGCCATTATGGACCTTGGTGAAGGTAATCACATACTAATGAAACTTTTACACTTTATTCAACCATCAAAGTCACGACATTAGATTCTTCAGCTTTAGTCCCTTAAAATAGGTTCTTTAGGACCTAATAGGGTCGTCAAATGGACCAATCAGTTTTGCAGTGGTCTTGCATTTCCTGTGTACAGAATATTTACTGATTTATACACTAGATGAAAGATAGAAATCTAACTAATTGCTATTCTTAATGCTTTACTTAATATTGGATCCCTTGACACATTATCCCAGTCAGTGAAAGCTCACCCAGACAAAACAATTGTGCATGCAAGACTGTGTTGTGATTATCAGACAGTAACCCTGCCTGCCTTCCTGCACAGAGCAGCACTGGGAGATACTTAAAATTAGCGTGTGGATGTAAATAGAGACTCAGATTTGTTGGAGGGGAGAAGGGTAACCTGCCGTTGTTTTCAATCAGCTGCACAGCTGAACCTTAGGGTGCTGTTCGTTGTGTTTACTGGTAAAATTATTCTTTCTCTGAGGATATATTGCATCTAATTAAAGTCTGGAAACTTGAGAAATTTCAATGGTTGGGAAAAAGTTGCCTTCAGAGTAATCAGACTGTCTACTGCTGTGTACACGATTTAGTAGTTGTATCTGTAATCACTCATCATGAATTTTATCATCAGTCTGAAAGCTTCCAGCTACTGTATATTACAAAGTACAAACAGCGTAATGATATGATCATAATACGGTTGTCAGCATGATACAAAAAGGTTAGATAACTGCAAATAGATGTCAGCTGTGAGGTTTAGGGCTCTTTTTTTATTACCACACTTCAAAAGGCAACATCACACCTGAACAATGAGGAATTCTCGGTATGTGTGAAGTTAAGTTATTTGTCTTGAATATAGTTTTCAATCGATGAAACTTCTAAGATTTGAACTTTGCAGAAGTGAAACCGAACAGACCACAATTAAGCTCCGTGTTAAAAACACTCGAGGTGGTCGTTCTGTCAGCATAAATTCACACAGCAGAGCATGCAACACATAAATTATCCTCGAGCAGCCCCATCTGTCCCATTTTCCACATCTTCTTCATCGTGCCTCAATCACTTCTCTCAAACTCTAAGCCTTTTCAGTGTATTGCAATACAACTAATTTAGTGCAGGTTATGAAATAAACCAGCCAATTTGAAAATGTGCATTTCTAACATGTCTGGATATGATTTTGTGCCTTGCTCAAGGATACTTGAGCATGATGGATATGAATTAATTATCTATTGTCATGTTTATCCTGTCACATCTGCCTTGCAAAGATAAGGATTGCATTCGTCAGTAAAGCTTCTGTGTCTTTTTTAAGCTCAGCTCTCCTCCATGCCCCAGTGACTAACTCTGGGATTAGTGCATCCCAGAGCCCTGTATGTCACATACAGGTTTACAGTGTAGCCTTTCCATTGGATCTGTGTCTACTCCTTCTTATTGTGTGATATATATTTATATTAAAGTCTCTGAAACATCATTTGAAAACAGTTGGAACAACCTTACATTGTTGCTAAGGATAAGGAATACACAACAACAGATATTCTTTATTTGTAGATAAAATGAGCAGTTCGTGCACAATCAGGTGTAATTGCAGTTTGAAACTGTATCAAACTCTTTTTCTACTTAGTGGCGATTTTCTACTTTAAGGACTAATAAGCAGAAATGATTTTACAAGTGATTTCAAGAGCTGGCTTGTCAAAGGGATACAACCACAGCCATAAATTGCATTTTGGATATTAACATCCAATTTGGTGGTGTAAATCGTCCCATGTGTAGAATATAGAATAAAGTTTTCAGTGAGATCATAGCTGGGCAGATTTGATTGTAGTCTGTGGAGAAAGTTGACAGTCGGGGTCACCATCTCACACTATGAGCTGGCACACATGGTCCAGCTGGCATATCACTCAGCACCTCTCTGTCTCTCCTCCTCCTCTGTCTGGCTTGATCTTCTCACTTCAGTCCAGCGTCACTTTGTACTTTTTAACCTCTGCTCTTCATTATTTATTTATGCTCTCTTTCTGTCTTTTCATTTGTCTCTCACTGTCTCTTCTTTTGTCTCTCTTTGCTAACTTCAGTTTGATTTGAGTTAATGATTTTATTTGTCTTACAATGCAAGCCAATACAGACAGCATGCCTTTCCCCACTATTTTGATTAAATCTGTTTGTCTACTGTGTTTCTCTCTATGTGCAGAGCTGGAGACCTTACAGTTGGATTTATCAGACTTGAGTCACAAAAGTTACACTTGGAGCCAAGATATCCAAGTTTTGCCTCTGTAAAATAACATTGAAATATAAATAAGACAGCGCCAGGCAAGCCTTGAACCCTAAATATTTAATTCTCAGACCTATGCATTAAAAAAGCCTGACCATTGTTATACAGTATGTAAGAAATATGTTAACACTACATTTAAAAGAAAATAGTCAAATGATGTGTCATTTTAGTTATCAGTATTTAGACCTGAAAATAATTGCTTATGAGGACTTGGACTTGGTTTAACAGAGACTCGACTTGGACTTCCCCAATAGGCTAAAAACATTCTGCCTCTTTGTTTCTTACATAACTTTTGCTGGATTAATGTTACTAATGAGGGTAAAATGGGTTAGATTTTTTTTTCTTTTTCTTTTTCTGGGTCCTTGCTGTCTTCCTATCTCTCTGACCTCTGCCTCCCTCTTACATCTCCCCTCCTTTTTCTCTCCTTGCGGTTATTTATGGCCTGGTATGTACTGTGCCAACCAGAGGGCTCGTGCTCCAGTGATGTGTGGATGCCGGCGGCCCCCTTCTCCGATTGCACCAGCAGACATCACAGATAATTATAGAATCGCCACGGTCAAGACGCGGCGCTGTCACACTCAATCACGGTCAGCATGATGAAAGAGAGACGGGGGAGAGTGTGCTGGGGCGGGGGGAGACAGTGAATGTGTATTTGTGTGGGTTGTCTGTTAGTGTGTATTTGTGCACGTGTGTGTGGTTAGTTTTAATGGCTGCTCTGGCTGCTTTTAAACATCGCTCAGTGAGTCAGATAGGCAGTCAGGGCTGTCACTTTAAGATATCACCCTGAGAGATCAGACCAACCAGAAACCAGAGTAGTGCTGTGTCACAAGTCTAGACTACTTTATTGACGTCACCCTCTGGCGTATAGCTTTTTATTAACATACTGTCAGACACCTAAAGGCCTGATAAGCAGTTTGATGGAACGTCTTACAAAGCAGCACATCGGTCAGCTGTGATATTTTCAGCTACTTTTGTAATAGAAGATCATTGTCGTATTGTGACGCAGGAGCATGAACATCCCAGACATGACTTGCAGTTACACGTAAGATAACACAGCAACAGGACTTTGTTGCACCTTTTTAAAGCAGTGGTTTCCAATTTGGCTGCTGGGACCCTATAAGGGTTTGCAAGATAAACCTGTGCTGTAATGTGAGTAACAAGGTGGAACAGCAGAAAAACACACGCATATATATATATTTCTGATATTTTTCTTTCCATAGACGAATACATCCTGTGCTGAGATCAAATCATTTCAAATCTGAGATACTTTTAAAGGTCCATTCTTATATTTACCAGAAAAGCATGTGATTAAAAGTTACATTATATGAGAGAAGTACATAGAGAATGTTGAGGATGGATGGATGTGTGAAAGAGGGTGAAAGTAAGCTGGTCTAGATATTTATAATGGAAGCTGGGAAGGAGGAGACTTGAGGAGAGTGTAGTGTTGCGTCACCCAAGCCCCAGATAGTACCTGGAAAAGGAAGAGCTAGCAGAGGTATGCAGAGAATTGAAAAGAGAGGGGATGACATCAATGCATAAAGGACGGGAGGGAAAGGGAAGATAACAATGTACGAGTTGGCTTGACAGATTGTTAGAGGTGTTGTTGACAGCTGTTTAGATGCAATTTGTCAGATGTAGTTTGCCAGCAGTGCATATGAATGCCAGAAGGTCTGTTACATCACCTGAAAGACGTCTATAAAGCAGAATGATAGGTCGACAAAGAGGGTTCAGTGCTACTGTACAAGACAGTCAGCTCTAATAATACTTGCAGTCAGACTGTGGTCAGCATTTGATATTATTATTCACCAGACAGTCTCAGTAAACTCCCATGAGAATCTATAATCACATTCATATTTAGATTACATGAATTCCACACATGCAAAGCATCTATGTTAACATCTATATTTCATGTAGTCATTTAGTCAGACAGTCTGAACTTTATTTTTAACCCATTCAAGGCTCCAGTGTTATTTTCTTTCACCTCTAGCTTCAAGGTTTATGAGCACTTAGCTGACTGAACAAGATCCACATCACTTTAACTGGTGTCCCTGTTAACTGTCTCGTTGTCCCATGATGTATGTGCAGTTGTAGCAAATAATTAATGGTGTATAACAACATGTCCACCTTGTACTAGAGTTTCAAAACTCCCTGTAGTCCAAGCAGAGTGACCCACAGAGGACAGCAAAGGTCGTTCAGTTCGGTGTGTTTAATCTCCTGCTGGGTGGGGGGACAGGCTCTCTGAAAGGGGGTGCAGAGGGAGAGTACACTACAACTGAAAGGGGTTGTACTATGCAAGCCTCGAAATAGACCGCTGAAGTTGGCAGTCA